GAATTTAATGCAATCATTGCCTGATCTCTACCCTAACATTAAAAAAGAAGTAAGTCTTACAATGAAATTGAATCCTATAATAACTATTTAATAACTATAATAATTGTTATAAATGTTATATGAAATGGCAATTATAGGTAAAGTTAAAGATTTCATGTGATAAAGACAGTTATGATCCCAACGGTTGCACCGGACCCGCACTCTTCAACATAGAGGTATTGAGATTGAAAATAATAATTACTGTTGCAAATAAATTAATGTTGATTTGTATGGGAATAAGTTCATCGAAGCGACACTAAATCAACACTCTTTGAAATCAATTGAAAGAAACCGAATCGACTTCGAGAACACAATCGCACAGCTTATCGAAACGCCTTCAAGTAAAGTGGTTTTGGCCTCACTTTTCATCGAGAAGAGCATTCCGTATGTTTCCAAATGAGACAAATATTAATTCCTATTTACATGTAATCTTAAACTTAATTTTGTAGAATATTATTGAATTCCTATGACTTCCATAACGAAGACACTCATATAGAGAGATCTCTTTTGGGTTCGATATTGTCGTGGATTAATGACACCAATTATATGTATCCGCCCTCTAAACGAATGTTCACTAATTTGCTCGACTCTTTGGGATCGGTTTGTTTCGTACCATTTAGTGAAATATATTTTTTTAATAAAATCTATATTTTGATGAATAGATTGCTGAAATACGTTGCGATGAAACGAATCAATTTGTTTTGGAAACGGCTATAAATTATCCGAAAATAATTGAATACATGGCTCCACGACTGTTGCCATCAAATACATCGACGCAATGTTTCCTCAATATGTATCAACTAATTGAACAAAAGTTAACTAAAACACCGCCTCAGGTGTCGTTTGTACTTCTCAGCAAAGTATGCATTCAGTTATCATAATTGACACTTCGGCCACTTTTTGACCATAATTTATACACTAATTGATCCATTAGTTTGATGTCTCACTTTGGTTCCGAAACGCATCCCACGAACAGTGCTTATCATTAATCCAAGTGTTAGGCAATGCTCTCAATAGCTTCGGGAATAAACCGAAAGATGAATATCTAATGGTTTTTGGGGTAAATCTTATGAAGTAATGAATGGAAATCTGAGAAATAATTATCATTTGTAATATTTAAACAGTTATATCGAAAGCATTTACAATATGCCTTAATATTCCGGTTTCCGCAATATCTGCCCGACGTCTTCAATATTCTTCTCAAAAGTATAAAAATAATTAAAATTTATTTCCAAAATAATAACAATAATTATTATATAAATGAAAACAATGTTTAGGAATGAAAGAGCAGTCAATATCTCCGTGCCTTTGGAACGATGTGTTGCTTTCGTTTGGTTTCTTTATAACACAAGAAGACGTGGATTTGTCTCACTTTTATCTGGAATTAAAGAAATACTCCAATAATCAGCCGTTGTTTACAGCGAATGAGGTATAGTGTGTTTGAATGGAAAATTTATTCGTTTCAAATTTTAATTTTTGTCACATAATTGACAGCTTTTTGACATTTTGTCTTTAATGTCAACACATCTGTCAGAAGCCTATCGTGAGATTTCAGTCGAATTTCTCGATCACTTCAAGATTTATATTCAACAATATTTGACACTAATTTCAACGCTTTCATTCTGTTGGCTGAACGCCAACTCCCGAATGCCTCCCTGTATGTCATACTCATAGCCATAGCCATCACATTATTCTCATTAACAATCTTTTAATGTATGAAAAGGTGATATTCTCAACGTTTGGCGTCCATTCTATGACAACTGGAATGTATGGCTCTTTCCTAAACGCTCGACACGTTTTATAACTGCAGACAATTTTAAGTTTGTTTGGGAACTATTTATGCTTAATATAAACTATTTCATCGAATGCTTTCAAGGTATGGATTCTCGCTTTTTTCGATTAAGGGCTCTATAATTGTTGTGTAATCTATAGGGATGTTGTCGAGTGTGTTGTCGTGTGTCTGGCAGGTCGTCCTCTCGTATATTATTTCCACCAAAGCTATTGACGCCAAAGATTTGGTTTTGATTCAGAATAATATTCAAACATTGAATTGGCATAAGTTTTGTCCAAATGTTATTGACATTAAACTTATGTATGAGGTATAGAAACAAATGATTAATTTTTTAGTCCATCCGTTCTTTAAGATAATTGTGTTTGATTTTTAATGAATGCTATGGTTAGGCCGTAATCCAAGACCAGTACTCCATTGAGCCATTTATCGCATACGTATTCACGCGAATTGATTGGAGACATACACTTAAAAACCAATCGTTAACAACAGAACAAATGACTTTAATAGTAGAGAACATCTCATATACAATGGTTTCGCTCTCTTCGCAAAAATGTTTAGTTAGTGTTAAAACCGATTATATGATTGGTTTGCATACAAATTGATTGTTAATTTTAATTATAGGCCGAAATCGATATGCAATCGATTCCTTTCGAGTTATTGACGGCAACTAAAGTGCAATCTATCGGTCAAGTGATCGTTCGTGTGATCAAATTGAAGTCATACTTCTTCGAGTCTAATAACACGAGTCATAGCTTTCTGTTAGGTTTACTCAAACAGATTTGTCTTCTCTCCGACACTGATATCAATGATGAGGACTGGCTTTTGAAGCACAAGTATTACGCAAACTCTATCTCATATTTGCTCAAAGACTTGAGTTCTGGTGACAATGAATTGGTTACTAAATATCCGCTTGAAATCAGAAATTTCATAACCAAGTGTTTCGAAGACTTGAGACCTGCTTTCCAATCAGGTATTAAAACGATTGTCATTTCATTTAACTTTTAGTTTTAATGCTTTTTAATATTGTTTGCTATGAAGATATTGAAAGCAGTGAACGGATAAACCTATTCAATCAACTATTAAATAGTTTGAATGATATATCAAATGAAGATATCAGAAGAATAGTGTCGGAACAGTACGCCATGTGTTTTAACTTCGAAAACCCCAACATTATCTGTGATTTGATTCAATCCACGTGTCAAACAGTCAAACATATTCCCAGCTTTTTATCCTTAAACGAGACATACATTTATAACTACTTCAGAGTCGAAGGTTTGTTTGGATTTAAGTGACTGTTTGTGCTTTGAATTGATCTCAAAATTGTTCAAATATTTAGGAAACATATCGAATCTGTTAGTGATATTCGAGATCCCAAACAATACCGAAGACTTTATGGTCGGATGCGTTACGAAGAACGCATCGCTCACTTTGACCATACATTTCTTGAGTAAATTGGTTGCTATTGAAGATACGAAGCGTTTTGTGTCCGGTTTGATGAACTGGAGCTCTCAGTTAAGGCCGAAGTGAGTTTCACTGCATTTTAATTTACTCTAATTATAAAGACCTAAACATTAAATGCAAACAACACTTGATTGCAGTGCTGACGATGAATCAAAAGTGTTGTTACTTTGGTTTAAAGTGTTGACAATAAGTGAGAGTTTGGTCGATAACGAAGAGGAGTCTATCGAATTGATTCACTCGATTCACAAGTTTTGCAAGAATTTGTTTGATGTCGTCGAGGAATCAGTATATCAGGGATTCCTGTCATTCATGAGAACCAATCGGAAATCATTTTCCGAAAGGTTTGTTAAATTCTAAATCTAGTCATTTATTTTATCGTTTTAATGGTAATGTATTTGTGTCTTCAAAAGGTGTACTGTTTTGATACTCTGTTTATCACTTCACGGCATTAAACATCTAAATGATTGCATCTCTCGGACGAGTCCACTGAACGCAGAGCTAAACACTGTCTATAAGTCAGCTCTAAATAAACTCCAGAGTCTAAAGAAAAACAAATCATTTGTCGAGTTATTGCCATTAATAGAGAACATGGGATCTGTTTTGGACAGAAGTGAATCGACAGTAGAGTCGACTCAATTGATCAAACAATCGCTGATGGCTTTCTATTCGGACAATTCCTGTCTCACAGCTATTATCTAATCATTGTTGAAATAATATATACGATTTGTTAAAAATTTTAAATCCTTTTAATATTACAGTACATTTCACGAGTTTTTTAATACAAAAAATAATTTATATATTATTTTTATTGTTCATTAAATAAGATTAAATATAAAGTATAAAAAAGTTTGTATTTATTTATGAAGACGACTGCTATATCAGGGATCTGTAAATATTGACTTTTGAAGTAAAGATACAAAAGTCTGTCGCCAGTCAGTGATGGCCTGATTCTGATAATTATATATCGGTGTAAACAGTAGTAGAAGTAATCCATCGCCTCTACACACCATCGAGAGTGGCGTTTGTCTCGTACATTGCATTTCCTTATTTAAACAATGATAAACTAATAACTAAATTGTCGATATATTGAATTACTTATTTGTTCACTATATATATCTAAAAGTGTCAGAGTATTTAAATCACATGCAAATCAGTGCTATTGCATGCACTACTTGTCAAACACTGTATTCAAACCTGTCTTATACTTTCTTCACTGTATGAAGACTTTGATTTTGTAGAAAAGTTGTCATATTGTTATTTAAATGAATTTATTTACAAATATGTTTATAGATTAAAATTAATGAAATCGATTAGATATTGTGGTAAATAAGTGAGAGAATTGAGTTTTTTGAGCGTTTGATTCCTAACCAAAGCCTGTCGACAGACGTCTTGAAGAAGTGGCGGATGTTTTTCCGATGAATACAGGGCTTCATAGAGTGGTCCGCTTTTATTAACTATTAATTCAATGGGTCTTCTATTCTGGTTATTAGTTAGACTAGTATTGGCACCAAATCTAAGCAATTCTAACGCGCTTTCCATATGATTCATGGAAACGGCTAAATGAAGTGGTGTTTCGTGAAATTTGGTGGCGTTTACGTTAGCGCCGGCCTGTAGTAGACGTTTCACACATTTGTATCGGTTCTGGAAGACAGCCGCGTGTAGTGGTGTCCCAAAGTTGCAGTCATATGTGTTGAGCAGTGCTCCGCATCCTATCAGCACATCCACACAATTCACATTTCCTGCAATACATAATTGCAAAATACTTTTATTATAGGTACTTTTATTATACGCTTATATGCTTATCGTTAACACGATTCTGTTGTTAGGGTTTTGGTTAACTCTTACCGACTCTCTCGCAAACTATTTGCCCAAAAATGAGATCAAATTCTGTACTCTTATGAATGAAATGAATGCGAAAAACTTTATCAGACATTTATGGCTTAAACTCAAGAATAAACAAAAACAATAACCAAATCTATTAATACAAAATTCGCAGTCAATTCCTCGGAGAATAAAACGGCGCTAAAACATGAAATATTGATCGCATTTAACAAACGATATGTAAAAAATGATTTGTGAATTATTAGTTGCAATACTAATAAATCAATTTTAAAAATTAAGTCAATATTTGTTTTGAAAACCCAGAAAATAAGGAAAACCCTAAAAGACATTGACTTTTTCAGTGAAGAAAAGTGCATAAAAATGATGACTAAATATAGATTGCATCACAAACTGAACTGAATTGAAGTTAGAAAACATTGACTTCACTCTCTATGAGCCTAGTTTTGAATTTTGTCCAAAACTAGAAATGTATTACAATTAGTAGTGAAATCCTGTGACAAACCATGGGTTACATCACATGTTTGGCACAAAGTTGTCTTAAAATTTTTAATTCATTGAAACTATTTGTTAGACAAATAGCGTCTGAACTCGAAATTATTGACGAAAAATCACTTAAAGAATTGAAATGTAAATAATGTACAGAATTTTGAATCAAATTTTTAATAAATAGCTAATATATAGAGAAGTGGTGTACAAAATGAATGCTAAAAAGTATGACATTTAAAAAGTCCTTCAACTCTAGGAATGAGTGGAAAAATTTAATTATAACTATAATTCGTGACAATTTTGACTGCAATTAGTATTGGCACCAAATCTAAGCAATTCTAACGCGCTTTCCATATGATTCATGGAAACGGCTAAATGAAGTGGTGTTTCGTGAAATTTGGTGGCGTTTACGTTAGCGCCGGCCTGTAGTAGACGTTTGACACATTTGTATCGGTTCTGGAAGACAGCCGCGTGTAGTGGTGTCCCAAAGTTGCAGTCATATGTGTTGAGCAGTGCTCCGCATCCGATCAACACATCCACACAATTCACATTTCCTGCAATCAATAATTGCAAAATACTTTTATTACTTTTATTATAGGTACTTTTATAATTATAATAGTATATTGGTCGGGGCATCCATACTATATTTAGGTACTTTTATTATACTCTTATATGCTTATCGTTAACGCGATTCTGTTGTTAGGGTTCCGGTTAACTCTTACCGACTCTCTCGCAAACTATTTGCCCAAAAATGAGATCAAATTCTGTACTCTTATGAATGAAATGAATGCGAAAAACTTTATCAGACATTTATGGCTTAAACTCAAGAATAAACAAAAACAAAAACCAAATCTATTAATACAAAATTCGCAGTCAATTCCTCGGAGAATAAAACGGCGCTAAAACATGAAATATTGATCGCATTTAACTAACAATATGTAAAAAATGATTTGTGAATTATTAGTAGCAATACTAATAAATCAATTTTTAAAATTAAGTCAATATTTGTTTTGAAAACCCAGAAAATAAGGAAAACCCTAAAAGACATTGACTTTTTCAGTGAAGAAAAGTGCATAAAAATAATGACTAAATATAGATTGCATCACAAACTGAACTGAATTGAAGTTAGAAAACATTGACTTCACTCTATATGAGCCTAGTTTTGAATTTTGTCCAAAACTAGAATATGTATTACATTCAGTAGTGAAATCCTGTGACAAACCATGGGTTACATCACATGTTTGGCACAAAGTTGTCTCAAAATTTTTAATTCATTGAAACTATTTGTTAGACAAATAGCGTCTAAACTCAAAATTATTGGCGAAAAATCACTTAAAGAATTGAAATGTAAATAATGTACAGAATTTTTTATCAAATGTTTAATAAATGGCTAATATATAGAGAAGTGGTGTACAAAATGAATGCTAAAAAGTATGACATTTAAAAAGTCCTTCAACTCTAAGAATGAGTGGAAAAATTTAATTATAACTATAATTCGTGACAATTTTGACTGCAATTCTTACGCTTAATGTCTCTAACTCTTATGCCTTACTGTTTGACAACATTTGGTATATGTATTGAATATTGTTTGCTTTGATTGCTTTCAATATAATCTATATTTTAGACAAACAATAGATAACATCTAAAATAATGTCCACATCTGTGCGACACACGTATGGATTTGCGTAGGTTTTGAGCTCAAGAGATCAGAGTCCGGGTCTGGGATAGGATGGCGCTCAAGACATCGAGAGAGAGAGAGAGAGAGAGAGAGAGAGAGAGAGAGAGAGAGAGAGAGAGAGAGAGAGAGAGAGAGAGAGAGAGAGAGAGAGAGAGAGAGAGAGAGNGAGAGAGAGAGAGAGAGAGAGAGAGAGAGAGAGAGAGACCTCATTTGGTAACAAAATTTGATACAGGGCTGATAACTAGCGATTACAAGTGTTATGTAATTAATGATTAGAGACAACAGTCATTTCATTTGTAATATAATAAAAGTAAATGCAATGAAAAACAAACTCACGTGATTGTTAGCTGCAAAAGTGCACAACAAAATTATATTAATTTTATTAATTACATTACAAATTAATTAAACTATAATATTTCCTCATATATGGCCCTCTCATACCTCTATGGCATTCAATAAGAATTTTAAATTTTATTTAATAATTCAGATCTTTAAATATATAAAACTAATTAAAACTAATTTTTACAATTTAAATGTAAATTTTGTTACCAAAAATTAATTGCAATAATTATCAGTTGTGGTTAATTCACTTACATTTTTAGAGAGAGAGAGAGAGAGAGAGGGCCATATATGAGGAAATATTATAGTTTAATTAATTTGTAATGTAATTAATAAAATTAATATAATAAAAACAGGTTAAAAGTATGGGATAAATAAAGTGAGATAGAAAAAAAAGAGAGAGAGAGAGAGAGAGAGAGAGAGAGAGAGCGGGTGTAATACCTGAAAAGGCCGCCTCATGTAATGGTGTGGAGAGTGAATGGACGGGATTAACAGCGGCTCCGTTGCCGAGAAGGAGTTGGACGCACTCGTAATGACCGGAAGCACAGGCGCCGCACAGAGGAGTCCCGCCGTCTATACTCCGGGCGTTAATCTGAGCGCCGCATTGGATGAGGAGTCGGGCGCACGAGACGTGACCCGCGAAACACGCGATATGAAGAGGTGTCAGATAGTCGTAATCGGTTTCATTGGGAGACAACTTGTGTTTTATGATCAGCGCCTCCACAGTCGCGATATCACCCAATTGTGTGGCCGCGTGTAACGGATAGAATCGACTGTATGTCCACTCTATCACCACAAACACATCCAAACTATAATATTCATGTCAATCATTACCATTTCATACATACCTTCGCTATCGTTCTGATCCATCGCACCGATAGTTGAATGCAATCAATGACCAAATAGTGACCAAAAGTGGTAGTGATTGATGAAAAAGATCGGTTTGTAATACAGTATAAACTTTATATTATACGTGAAGTGACAGTGAATGCAATTCAGGCTATAATGAGAGACAGAGTGTGTGAGCACTGATGTAGACGTGAATCTGAAGTGAAGTCTCTATACGACTGTCGAGTAGAGGAATGCAATACTACTTCACTACCAAAAGTGTTGGCAAAGATTGATAAAAATTGTTTGGGATGTGAAACACTGTTATGAGCGCTAGTAAAGCAGCACTCAATGCCATCCAAACTATTATATAATTGTTGGCAAATTCATGGCAAACGAGAATTTCATGTGAAATTACAATCGATTTCAATGCATATGACTTTCGGGACACAAAAGACAAATACTTTGTGCATTACATATGCGTTATACAACTCCCGTCTCATCTCTTCATTATAATATGGCATTCATTCATCTTTTGTTTAAGTTTTGCTATTTTTTATAACTTTTTTATAATGAGATTCTTATAAATAAAGCCAAAATGTCAGTCACTATATTATACAAGAATTATAGAGACTTTAAAATTAATTTTAGAAAAGATTTCAGCCAAAGATAATTTCACTCTTGAGTTGAATTGAAATTCTTTGAAAAATTATTCTTAAATTAAAAACATTTGATAAATTTTGCAAAGATATGGACAAAATTTTCTGTATAATCAAATAGTTTGAGATAAAAAACGGATGATATGTTTGCAAATAAAGTGTTTTGAAAATAAATCTAATATTTAATTGAATTGTAAGCATATTTAAAGTGTAAGGGTTGACGAGAGCACCGGTATATTCCAGTATACGCTCAATATTGTTGTGTTGGAAGTGTAGAGACTATGCCATGATTTTTGGATTTTAACCATCATTTGTAGATTATATACAAAATTTTGCGATAAATTATAGCCAAAACAAATCTTTCGATGAATGAATGATTTTTTGTACAAATTTTTCATTTAAATTTCATATCTCATTGAAATTTTCCACTTCTTATAAGTTTAGTGGAAGTCTTCATATCTGAGGCAAAGAAGTGAAGCGATAAGCAGATTGTTTGACTCCATCTCACCATCAGATAGAGTCATAAATCATACAAATTGTGATTATATTTGATGTTTGTTTTACTACTAGTTTATAAAATATTAGTATAATTAACGAGTAATTAAACAAACAGTGAATTATAGCTATAAATAGCTTTCATATAATATTTTACAATAATCTGTAAATGCAATGAATGGGACGTAATTGATGTGAATGTGTGGACACGTTGTGAAGCCTATTATTGGTTAAGAAAATGTAAACATTTAGTGATTTAATTGTCAATTCAATTGTCATTTCATTTGATTCAACACTTTATTACAGTTTTCGATATAATGTCCGCTTCGGAGCCACAGCTGAGCCAAGGATTGCCGCAACCGATGGCCACCGGATCGGCGCCGCAGACCATCACTGGTGGCGATCAGTTGTCGCTGTCGTCGGCCGACAAGCAATCGGTGCCACTAATGATGGAAGCGATGGAACCGATGGGCGAATTGGACGGCGCTATCAATAGTCTGGCCGTCTCTGCGAAATACAATTTAACCCAATTATCGCCGAAACAACTGCTTCTGAGTCGATGGCAAGTCATGAAGAGTTGGGGAATGTTTGCCGACACCAACCGAATGCTGTTCCCGACGGCTATCAACCAATGGTCGCGACGACTGGTGAAGAATTTGCAATACTTTCAAAGCAATTATATGTGTCTTTTCATCATTTTGTTCATCTATTGTGTGCTCACATCACCGCTACTTCTGCTGGCGTTGTCCGCGTCGGTCGGCGGCGCCTATATCTTGACCCTCAAGAACGCCGAGAGACCGCTCAAGTTCTTCGGCCGACGGCTGACGTTAGGCCAGCAGTACTTGTGTCTGGCGGTGGCGTCTCTGCCCCTGTTCTATGTGGTGGGCGCGGGTGCGGCCGTCTTCTGGGTTATGGGCGCCTCACTCTTTGTGGTCGGTCTTCACGCCTCCATCTATGCTATCGAAGCCGTCGACGACTCCATCGATGGCCAGCCCTTTGCTTTCAATGTGCAAAGTGTTTGACTTTTACGCACCACTTGTTATCCCTATTAACCTAATTGAACACCAAATTTGATCCCAAAATCTCAACGCTATTTGAACTACAATTTTAATATAATATAATACGAAATGTTTGCTATGTTTTTAAATTATTTAACTTTTAAATTAATTATTTAATATTTTTGATGTAAATGTTAATAAAAAAACTGAATAAAATTTTATATACAGTATATTTGCAGTTGAAATGTGTTGAAATTTTATTACAAGTTACAATTATAATTAGTAAATGTATATAATTTTAGAAAATACAATATTTACCTATATTTTATCATGATTTGTTTTATGAGCATGTGGTGGGTTTGGGCAAATGGTTAATAAAAATTACTTTTTTTTAGCAATTAATGAATGAAACCATAAAATGGTAATTTAGTGAAGTCTCTAAAAATTTAATATATCATTGTTTTAACTATAATTATGTATTCTTTGCCGGAATTATGGCTTTATATTTAATTTAAGTAATCATGTGTTGAAATATTGTCGATTTGAAACAACAGAATATTATGTAATCTGATATTCATTTTCGTATTGAATTTCACCGTAAAAACAAAAAGCATATTATTAATAGTACTGAATGTGTATTCAAAAAGTTAAACTATTGTGAAAATATTACTTTCAATTTCAATAGTTTGTCTCTTCAGTTTCAAATCCATTCTCAAATGTTGCCCTTAAATATTGACTCAATTATTCAAGTGATGTAACATTTATGTAATATATTATGAATATAATATGCAATCAATTAAATATTGATAAATTGTTATACAGAATGCTATGTAAAGTGCAATTAGACGTTAACACCATCTGGTCGTAGATTGGGTCGGGTTTTGCGCCACCGGATGACTGATCCCCACATTGTCTGCCATCAATTAAGCTGTCATTGAATTTGTATTTTAAAAATAATTTGGTTTTTATTTCGTTTGAATACAGATTACATATTGATGTTTATATAAAAATACTAAAACACATTAGTAAATATAATTCCTGTAAAAGTTTGCTTTTATTTGGTTTGAATTACACTTTTATTTAATACCTGTTATCGGAGTTCATCTCAATTTACAATATTTGCCAAAATAATATTGTTTTGAATACTTTAGTGAATTAATTAAATGCCTTTGAATTGGTTTTGTATTATATTATGGTTTTATTCATAATTATTAAATTCCAATTACAATAATAAAGATTAAATTTAACTATATTTTAATAAATAAGATATAACTTATTTAAGTTATTTAAGATATTAAGATATAAGTTATTTATATAATAGCATCAATACTTGTGGTAATTGAAAATATAAATTGCTGTATTTATATTTAGATATTTGATTAAATTGTATAATTTTATATTTATTAATCTTTTGGAAAAATTCAATTCATATTTGGATGAATTTTAATGAATTTACTAAAAGTTTTAAAAACATGTTCAATAAAATTGAAAATAGCGGAAAATTTACCGGTAATAATTTCTATCGTATAATACTATTAAAAGTGTAATAAAGTTTTAATTATCATTAATTGAAAGATGTATTGATATTTCCTGTGAAGAAACATAATCTGAAAAACCATAAAACATACAAATATTACAATTTTGATAACTATTTATTTCTAAATTTAATCATTACATGTAATTTCTAGTGTAAAATTTATTATTAATTTTATGAGTGGTTTTGAAATTTATGTAAAATTTTAAAATTGTTTATTTTCTTTTAAAATTTATCAATACTTTTATATTATTGTTGGTATAAATTTCGTAAATACTTCAAAAATAGAAAATTAACAATGTTCAATATAGGTTAATAATTCAATAAATGTCAAAATCAATAAATTATTTGACACCAGCTCAATAAATAGTAAAACCATATAACATGTTATGTAACCAAAAAAGTTCATGTTAAATCTATGAGCAAATGAGTAATTTTATCGTAACTATATAATATATTTATGATTTGTAAAAATCACACAATATGTTTGACTTTGTTATTTATTTGTAATAATTATTTACTATAATTGTATTTTTCTGTTATAAATAGAGATTTTAAAGAGTAATATCAATAAAATTAAAAAGTATTCATTTGAACGGTTAATATGAAGTGAAGTGAAACGGAAACACAAAACAACACCAGACAGAACTCAAGTGTGTATTTTGTGCCCCAATTACTAAAATATATTTGAATTCTTTAACTAAATAAATATTGATTTAGATAAAGAATCTGTGAATTTATATTTCGTAAAACTTTTCAATAAAGCAATACATATGCGATACACAGCACAACACAAATGCTATAAAACAGGCGTATATTTTAAGAC